GAATTGAAAAAGCCTAAATAATACCTAAAACATAACCTTAAAGTAATTATAATTTGAGAATGCCTAAACACTGCTTAAAACATAACCTAAAAATAGTTATGAATTGAGAAAGCCTAAATACTACCTAAAACATAACCTAAAAATAGTTATGAATTGACAAAGCCTAAATACTACCTAAAACTAGTAAACAATTGAGAATGCCTAATTACTGCTTTAAACATAACCTAAAAATAGTTATGAATTGAGAAAGCCTAAATACTACCTAAAACATAACCTAAAAATAGTTATGAATTGAGAAAGCCTAAATACTACCTAAAACTAGTAAACAATTGAGAATGTCTAATTACTGCTTAAAACATAACCTAAAAATAGTTATGAATTGAGAAAGCCTAAATACTATCTAAAACATAACCTAAAAATAGTTATGAATTGAGAAAGCCTAAATACTACCTAAAACTAGTAAACAATTGAGAATGTCTATTTACTGCTTAAAACATAACCTAAAAATAGTTATGAATTGAGAAAGCCTAAATACTATCTAAAACATAACCTAAAAATAGTTATGAATTGAGAAAGCCTAAATACTACCTAAAACTAGTAAACAATTGAGAATGCCTAAATACTGCTTAAAACATAACCTAAAAATAGTGAGGAATTGAAAAAGCCTAAATAATACCTAAAACATAACCTTAAAGTAATTATAAATTGAGAAGGCCTAATTACTGCTTAAAACATAACCTAAAAATAGTGATGAATTTAGAAAGCCTAAAAACTACCTAAAACATAACCTAAAAATAGTTATGAATTGAGAAAGCCTAAATAATACCTAAAACTAGTAAACAATTGAGAATGCCTAAATACTGCATAAAACATAACCTAAAAATAGTGAGGAATTGAAAAAGCCTAAATAATACCTAAAACATAACCTTAAAGTAATTATAATTTGAGAATGCCTAAACACTGCTTAAAACATAACCTAAAAATAGTTATGAATTGAGAAAGCCTAAATACTACCTAAAACATAACCTAAAAATAGTTATGAATTGACAAAGCCTAAATACTACCTAAAACTAGTAAACAATTGAGAATGCCTAATTACTGCTTTAAACATAACCTAAAAATAGTTATGAATTGAGAAAGCCTAAATACTACCTAAAACATAACCTAAAAATAGTTATGAATTGAGAAAGCCTAAATACTACCTAAAACTAGTAAACAATTGAGAATGTCTAATTACTGCTTAAAACATAACCTAAAAATAGTTATGAATTGAGAAAGCCTAAATACTATCTAAAACATAACCTAAAAATAGTTATGAATTGAGAAAGCCTAAATACTACCTAAAACTAGTAAACAATTGAGAATGTCTATTTACTGCTTAAAACATAACCTAAAAATAGTTATGAATTGAGAAAGCCTAAATACTATCTAAAACATAACCTAAAAATAGTTATGAATTGAGAAAGCCTAAATACTACCTAAAACTAGTAAACAATTGAGAATGTCTATTTACTGCTTAAAACATAACCTAAAAATAGTTATGAATTGAGAAAGCCTAAATACTATCTAAAACATAACCTAAAAATAGTTATGAATTGAGAAAGCCTAAATACTACCTAAAACTAGTAAACAATTGAGAATGCCTAAATACTGCTTAAAACATAACCTAAAAATAGTGAGGAATTGAAAAAGCCTAAATAATACCTAAAACATAACCTTAAAGTAATTATAAATTGAGAAGGCCTAATTACTGCTTAAAACATAACCTAAAAATAGTGATGAATTTAGAAAGCCTAAAAACTACCTAAAACATAACCTAAAAATAGTTATGAATTGAGAAAGCCTAAATAATACCTAAAACTAGTAAACAATTGAGAATGCCTAAATACTGCATAAAACATAACCTAAAAATAGTGAGGAATTGAAAAAGCCTAAATAATACCTAAAACATAACCTTAAAGTAATTATAATTTGAGAATGCCTAAACACTGCTTAAAACATAACCTAAAAATAGTTATGAATTGAGAAAGCCTAAATACTACCTAAAACATAACCTAAAAATAGTTATGAATTGACAAAGCCTAAATACTACCTAAAACTAGTAAACAATTGAGAATGCCTAATTACTGCTTTAAACATAACCTAAAAATAGTTATGAATTGAGAAAGCCTAAATACTACCTAAAACATAACCTAAAAATAGTTATGAATTGAGAAAGCCTAAATAATACCTAAAACTAGTAAACAATTGAGAATGCCTAAATACTGCATAAAACATAACCTAAAAATAGTGAGGAATTGAAAAAGCCTAAATAATACCTAAAACATAACCTTAAAGTAATTATAAATTGAGAAGGCCTATATACTGCTTAAAACATAACCTAAAAATAGTTATGAATTAAGAAGGCGTAAATATTGCCTAAAATATAACCTAAAAATACAAATATGGATTGAATTTACAAATATTTTAACCCCTAATTTGTCACTGTTGGGTCAAATGGACCACGTAATCTACATAGAATTTTTCAAGATTATCTTGTAATACCTTAAAAAAAATTATAAAGTAAAAATAATCAATATTTTTTTATTTTTGTATGAAATTTAGGGGTCTAATAGACCCCAGTGTGATAAGTACGTGATTATTACCCTTACCAGACAAGGATAATGACAATAATAATAATAATAATAATAATAATATAATGATATAAGTAATATTTTTATATATAAAATATGTATATAGTATTTATATAGTAGTATAATAATTATTAAAAAAATAATAATAATAATAATAATAACTTCAGTTCTGTATATAAGTAAATTAAAAAATGAAAAGAAAATAGAAAATTTAATGGAAAAACAAACAAAAAAAAATTCTCAATAAAACGAATGTACATAACATGTCAAGATTCTAATTCTATAATATGGTATAATGACTCATTGCACGACGAAGAATTATATATATTTATATATATATATATATATATATATATATATATAGGCAACATTTAAAATTAGAACAACACGTCTGCACATCTCTCAAGCGCATTAAATTGCAAATTATTTTTTTTTAATTCTATACTTTAATACTGCGTATAATATGTATATACATATATAGAATACAAACATCTAAAAACAATTTAAGAATTCTTATAAAAATTCTTTCACTGAAAAAAATATTTCTTGTTTTAAGAGGATTCCTCTTATTTTGATGCATATTTTCACAGAAAAAAAAATCCGTAAACTGAAATTAAGAATATATTCTTTGCGCCTATATTTAAAAATATATTTAATCCTTAAATTCAGTATATATTATTTTAAGAATAATATATACTGAATTCAAGTATAAAATATTCCTATACCAAGAATATTATATACTTAAATTATGTATATATTCTTATTTTAAGAATAATATATACTGAATTGAAGTATAAAATATTCTTAAACCAAGAATATTCTTTATTTACTTTAAGAAAAGACTTTCTTAAAAAAAAAAAAAAAACTCTAAAATAATAAAATTGTAATAGAAAATCCTCTTAGAAATTAGAGGAATACTATTAAACCAAAGAAATTATTCTATGTTCTAAGAATATTACTGTTATTCTTAAAATATTATTCTCTCAATGTAAGAGGAATGTGCTAAAGTAAACCTATTTAATATGTATACGAACTTCTTAAAAAAAAAAGACGAAAATATATATATTCTCCGGTAATATACTCTCGTTACAAGTATAAAATTTAAAACCATTTTTAAAAGAGGAATTTTCCTCTTAAAACAAGAATATTTTTTCTTTTGTTTCGTAATATACATAATTCAAATAAAAAAAAAAAAAATGTCTATACTTAAAAAAAAAAAAATTCATTAAAGAAACTGTGTCGTATTTTAAAATGTGAATGATTTACAGATCAAAATTTCGTTTCTCTCTCTTAAAGTTAAATCGCATTACATATTTGTATTATCGTGACCGATATCGTCAAGAAAATGAAATTTTAATTGCTAGTCACGTAGCAATCGTATAAAAGGTATAATATACACGGAAAGAAAAAGTGTTAAAAATATTTAAAATACTTTTTAAAATAATAATAATAATAATATGTAATTCACTACTAATTTTTTACTATATTTGTTTAATATTGATTCTTGGTACTTAGTACCATATATACTAAATACTATAGGATTTAGTATTCAAGGATTATAGTATTCTAATTTTAAGAATATTAAATACTGAATTTAAGAATAAAATATTGAAAAATATAGGTGCCAAGTATATATATTTTAAATTTCAAAATATACACTTGGGACCTACACTGAAAAAATACTGAAAAAGAATCTAAATTTAAGTATATTTTCTTAGCACCTACTTAAGGATACTTTATACTTAAATTCAGTATATTCTATTCTTAAAATATGTATATATATTCTTAATATTAGAAATATACTATTAGATATTCATCTTAAAATATATTTCCAATATTAAGAGTATATATTCTTATATTTTAAGAATAGTATATATTTAATTTAAGTATAAAATATCCTTAAATAGGCGCCAAGGATATAACTTAAATTTTGATTTACGTTTTTTCGGTATATTTTAGACTATTTTATATACCTAAATTCAGTATATATGTAATATTCTTAAAACTAGAATATACTCTTAATATTTACTCTCTAAATTTGAATTAGTAGTTTTTTACTAATGGAAAGAGTGCGTATTTGTTTACCAATTGAATTAGTAATAGTTTTGACTAATTTTTAGTAAAAAAAAAAAACTTCTAATTGCGCAAAATTTGATTAAAATAATAAGCGTTGCAGCTTATTTTAATGCCTTTTAATTTTCTGTGTTGTCATAGCAAAAAAATTTAGCCGTGGTTACTATAATTTTTGATAGATCTGATAGCAAATTTAACATCTGTAAGCAATTCCTTTTTTTCATGTGCATTATTAAAAAAAAAATTTTTAATAATAAAAAGTAAACAATAACTTTTTGATATATGTATAATTACCTTTGTTTTGCGGTGGTGTCCTCCGCATTTCACAGGGGGCTCCACTGTCCTCTGCAACGAGTGTAGCAGTAGCAGCAGCAGCAGTGCCAACCGAGCGTTGTTGATAGTGTTGATAATGTTCCGACTGTTCGTTGGATAGCGCTGCAATATCCAATGGAGAACGTGGACTACTATTGTCTCCACTCGTGACCGTTGTCGCTTCGTCCGGTGAACTTGCCCCAGTAATATCTACACACACACAAACACATAAAAAAGATGCAAATTACATCCACAAAAATACAAAACTTAATTAATTTTTAAAAAAATTACACCACTATTTTAAATATACATACACTAGGTACAACACCTATATTTAGTAGAGGCTAATATTTCCTAACCCCCCTTTTGCCCCCCTTTTCTCAAGGCACACACACACACAGTTCTAGATATTTACTCCTTCAACAAAAAAAATTTTTTTTGACCCATTTGATACTGACTTATTTTTTTTTGCACAATTAAAAGATGGGAGAGAGAGAGGGGGGGAAAAAACACACGTTGAGTTCACGAGGGGGGTAATTTTTTAATTTTTTTTTACTTCGGAAAAAATAAATAATTTCTTCTTTTCCCCAATGGTTATTTTAAAACGGGGGTAGTGTCATCTGGCGGGGTTCTCGCCGCCAAAAAAGAGAATGAGTGAGTGAGTGAGAGAGCGAGAGAGAGAGAGTGAGGGGGGGAGGGTTTTAAACACCGTACGCGAACGCGTTCGATGTGATTGCGAACACGGCCCCTCGCGAACTGGTGGCCATATTGCTCGTTGCTACGTCGTCCAATTGGCTCCGCCTATCCCTCACTCACAGAAACTGAATACCCCCCTTGCCACAAGCACCCCACCCCGCCCCCCCCCTCACAGTTCATCCCCTCTTTCTTCTTTGTTCACTGTGTGCAACCCAACCGCATATATATATATATATAACACTTTGGCAAAAAAAAAAAAAGAAGAAACACTTTTGGCCTTATCGTTTTTATGAATTCTAAGCTAATGATGTTCGAATTCTAAAATTTTGAAATTTTTCTTTTAAAATGAAGAAATGGGACTGATGAATATGTTTTTAAAAATTGTTAGAATTTTCATTTTATGAATATTGTCATAAGTGTATCAATTACTGCTGATTCCTCCAATTACTGCGATTTTTACACTCAAAAAAATAAGTAGTAGATTTGACTACTTTTTAACTACCCTGTATAGTACAATAGGTCCTCAACTCAATTTTAAAAGTTGTATTAACTACTAAAAAGTAGTTAAAATAACTAAGAATGTAGTTGATATAATAAGATTTTGTAGCTAGTTTTAAATTCTAACTACATTTTTAAGTTAATTGTACTACTAATTTTTAACTACTTAAGAAATAGTGAAATTAACTACACAAACATTGTTAAACTAACTAAGAAAGTAATTGTTTTAACTTCTTTTCACTTAACTACCCAAAGGTAGTTGAAGATTTCGGATAAATTTTTTTCAGTGTATAAAATTAGTATAACTTAGTAATTGAGAAATATTTGGTATTATATCCACTACTCTCAAAATCTGAATTAGTGAAAAGTGAGCTACTAATTTAAATTAGTACCACTGAAAAAAATGTTGCCGAGAGAAATTCAACTACCATTGGGTAGTTGACTATAGAAAGTAGTTAAAATAACTACTTTTTTAGTTAATCTAATCATGTTCATGTAGTTAATGTATAACTATTTTTAAGAAGTTAATAATAGTTGATTTTACGTAAAAATGTAGTTAAAGTACAACTACAGGTCGGTGGTAAAATTAACTTTCTTAAGGTAGTAAAAACAAGTGGAATTGTATAGTCAACTCAAAATTTCAAGAGTAGTAAATCCAACTACTATTCACCAGTTATATGAAATGTAGTAAAAGGAATTATTTTTTTTAATATAACGCCCAGGTGAAACGATTCTACGGAAATCACTCCACGGAAATTCCATACGGAATTCCGCAAAAATTCTATACGGAATTCCGCAAAATTTTGAAAGTATTCCTTTCGTAATTTTGCGAATTTTTTTGAAAGAATTCCATACAGAATTGCACCAAATTTTCAATAAAATTCCACAACTTTATTTTTTGCTGATTTTTTTGTGATTCTAGTCGAACTTATTTGAGAGGTCAATAAAACGTTTTCCAAAAGAAATTTACTATCTTTCAGTCAACTATAACTAACGGTAGTTGAATTTCTCGACTAATTTTTTTCAGTGTATCCACCAGCAATTATTTTAAAATTACAAAAAAATCAGTAAAAAATACACTCAATAAAAAAAACTAGTAGATTTGACTATACTTTTTAACTACCCTATGCATAGTTCAATACAGTCCTTAACTGAATTTAAAAAGTTTTATGGACTATTAAAAAGTAGTTAAAAGAACTAATAATTTAGTTGGGTCAAGGAGATTTAGTAATTGTTCTAATTTTTGAAGTTGATTTAACAACTTTTGTTAAGTACAATTAACTACTATAATTCTTAACTCCATAAAAAATAGTTAAATTGACTACACGCACATAGTTAAAATAACCAAAAAACTAGTTACTTTTACTACTTTCAAGTCAGTTAACTACACGGAAAGACTTCTTATATTAAAAGACATTAAAAATGGTAATACATTTTAAGAAATTCAATATTAAATGGAGGCTATTCACAGTTCACTAATAATATTTAAAATTGCAATATGAATACTTATTAATGAAAGAAAATTAAATTTCATATATTGACTTAGAAATTTTAGTTTTTGTCTCTATTAAATTTGAGACTAGTAATTTGTAAAAAAAAAAAGTTTACTTTTCATTACTAAAAATAACACGAATTAAAATAAAGTTTTTGAAATTTTAACATATTAAATATGAAAAGATCTTAAAACCATAGCCACACGTATATCGATGTGAAAAATTAAAATGTTCACTTTGGAAATTTAATATCGACCACTATTGATCCTCGCGCTTGGCTCCCGAGGATTGACGAATCTACCCGAAACTATGAATATGCCGCGCGGGAAGATAAACGACAATCAGTTCGATTTTAACGATTTTCACTGGGAAATCATTAGCAGAAATGATTTAAATAATGCTGCTTTTTCGTATTTAAATACGACAAGAGATGGAATGTATATTAATAAAACTTGGATCTGAATAATGGTTTTTTCATTTTTTTACTCTCTTTCAAATTATATATTTGTCGTTATGAATAGCACTTTTGTAATTTTATCCCAAATAATAATTTAATATTTTAAAATATTTTAGTTTATTAATAATTTACATTTATATTTACTGATTATTTATTATTATTTCTTAAAATATTTTAAGATAACTCATCAATTTTTAACAGTGCCGATATTAAAATTTGCTTTTCTTGGTTTTAAAATTTGTAATCACTTTTTTTAATTAAGAAAATTGTATTTATGAATTTTACAAATATTGACAAATGATTTACAGAATTAATAGTGACTATAGTGATTTTAAATATTGACCCTGAATAGCCTCACTTTGATATAGTAAAATACTAAATTTTGGTTCTATTTTTACAAATTTTTAATATAAGAAGTCTTTCCGTGTAAAGGTAGTTGAGTATTTCGGCTAAATTTTTTTCAGTGTACAATTGTGAAATTCTAACAAAAATTTTGTGCAATTCCAACAAAAATTTTGTGCAATTCCGTATAGAGATTATGTGTGCAATTCTTATAAAAAATTAGCAAAATTACAAAAGAACTTCTTTCAAAAATTTTGCGGAAATTTTTGCGGAATTCCGTATATAATTTTTACGGAATTCCGTATGGAATTCCGTGTGGAATTTCCGTGTGGAATTTCCGTGGAGTAGTTTCCGTAGAATCGTTTCACCTGGGACTGCTTTTTGAGTATAGTAAATTTTTTTATTAATTTCTATGATTTTATAGGCTTCAATAAAATTCTTGTTGTAGAATTAAAAAGTCGTCTGTAATTAAAACTACTATACTTTAAGTAGTAGATTTTTACTATTTTCATTAATTTTGATAAACTTACAGAAGATTTTTGATGTAGAATTTACAAATCGTTTCCAGTGAAAACTACTACTTTAAGTAGTAGATTTTACTACTCAATACAATAGGCTTTAAGAACATTTTTGTTGTAGAATTAACAAATCCATTGTGATTAAAACTACTATACTTTAAGTAGTAATTTTTTACTATTTTAATTAATTCAATAAGCTTGAAAAACGTTTTTGATGTAAAATTTACAAATCGTTTCCAAAAACTACTACTTTCAGTAGTAGCTTTTACTACTTAAAGTGGTTCAATAGGCTTTAAGAACATTTGATGTCGTAGAATTAAAAAATCCTTTACAATTAAAACTATCACTTTAAGTAGTAGATTTTACTGCACTATGCAATTAAATAACTTATAATATAATTAAAAGATGAAAAATTTACAAGTCAAAACTTAAAAAGAATAGTTATAGCAACTAATAAAAGTAGTAAAAATGACTAATTTAAATAGTTAAATTACCAAATTGGACAAGCAGAAAGTAGTCTTCGAGTAGTTTGCAGACTGTCGTAGCGAGAGCGTGCGTGGTTAGTCGGTTAAGGTATCGGATTGCGAGCGTGTTAGGGTCGAGGGTTCAATTCCCGTCGGTTAGAAATTTTCTCTGTTAGTTACATAATCGTTAGGGCAGCATAAAATAAGCGTCAGTATAGGAGAGAGGATGAAAAAGTCAATTCTACTGATAATAAACAATTATAAATAAAAAATAATTTTATTTTCCTATTTTAAGTAGTAAAATCTACTATATACTTAAAGTAGTAGTTTTAATTGCAAAAGATTTATTAATTCTACAAAAAAAAATGTTCTTAAAGCCCTATTGAACCACTTTGAGTAGTAAAGTTTACTATATACTTAAAGTAGTAGTTTCAATTGCAAAATATTTATTAAATGTACCAAAAAAATGTTCTTAAAGCCTATATTGAACCACTTTAAGTAGTAAAATCTACTATACTTACATCTTGAGTTGTTTTAACATTTTTAAATTGAGTTAATACAATCACAAAATGTCATTCTACCAATTACATTTTTAATTGGTTTAACTATTTTTCAGTTAATAGAACCGTTTAAATTCAGTTGAGAACCTATTCTACTACTCAGAGTAATTAAAAAGTAGTAAAACCTACTAGTTTTTTTTCAGTGTATAGTATACATTAGTAGAGTATACTTTAGTATAGTA